CTTGTAGAAATTAGAATAATTCCTGGAGAATTAGATAGCAATTTATGTTTAATTTTAATTAAAACATATTGATAATCTTATTGCTGAAGCAAAACTATCTGAGATACAAAAATCAAGAAGAGTTCCAATAACATAATATGGTAAAAGGGAAGAGTGGGGAAACATGATCTAAGTACGAATAAATATTAGATTAAAAATGTTAATTTGTTTTCAAAACAAGGTTTGCCGAACATCCCAACAAATATGAGATTTGTAAAATGAAATATATTAGCAAATATATCTATTAAATAGATAATAGAAACAAGTTGTACAATTTCCGTAAAATTCCATGTCGTCGACACGCAGTCTGTGTCGCAAAATCATTAGCCATACCTCAATATAATTAATAGCAGGAAACGTCTAACTTAGTACTGGCTGTATGTAGTTTTATGTTATAGAAAACAGTGCCCTCTATGTAAACTATCATAAACTAAATTTTTCAATTAACATGAAAAATACTATTTTATTTGTTTTGAAAGTAAAATTAGAACAACATGTAGAGTAACATGGGCGTCGATAAACACCTCGGTGTTCCCGCTGCTCGTTTGTCCCCTTCTCTTATAAAAAAAGAAAGAAGAACTGTTGATTTTGTATGTTCATATTCGATGCGTAATAAACCGTATTAATTTTTATAGTTATATCCTGGATAATAGCAAAAGAAACATACCATAGTTTACGTAGGAACCATCACGATATCTATAAATATAGAGGAGAAATAAAAAGGTAGTAATGTAAAATTTTGAACCATATTTCATAAGCTACGTCATCCAAAACTGTCTAAAAGTTATCCGAAGAAAGCAAATATACAACTTTGAAATATTACGGTTAATTTCATCGGTAGTTGCTTACATTTATATGAATGGGAGAGAGCTAAATGGACATTTACAATGGTCCAGTGAAAACTGAACGCGTAGTGAAAGCGAGCGAGGTCGATCGTGTACTCAACATAACAGAGAATAAACCACTGAACTATAATTGCTAGACATCTAGAGAACTAATCTTTGATTATACGACCTTACTTCTTTTAAATTTTTAAAATACTTTCTAATTGAATATGACTGGTTGTCTATGACTGAAATAAAAAACAACAAAGAATATGTTAAGTTGATTTTCGTCGATTATAGAGTTAGTTTAGTTTAAATATTAATCGAAAATTAATTTCAAAGACGACATGCAAAGAATATTTTTGACTCATTTCTCTTTTATTAGTAACTAGCAGTCCGCGCGGAATAAAAAAACATATTTAGGAGCCTGTGTGTTGTTCCAGACTATATTCTATATGTATGCCAAATTTCATCGAGATCCGTTCAGCCGTTATGGAGAAACCATCTAACAAACATCCATACATTCATCTAAAGATTCGCATTTTTAATATTAGATTGATGAGTCCTCCATGAACACTAATACTTGTGGCAATGACACAAAATGATTTCGTAGTAATATTTTAGACAATTGAAGTTTACGCCTTGAATTTGCGGAAATTCATCGGTTAAGTAGCAATATACATCTTGATAAGGTCGATTATAATTAGATGTTTAATGACTCCTTAAATTAGTCATCTAGCAGCGCGTAACTACCGTCATTTCATCATTGTATTATTCAGAGGAAGTTGTTTACCTCATTCGAGTTAATGATATCGTTAAACGCAGTCTTCGGAACTCTTTATACCGATTTACGATTAACAAGCTGTCGCCCGCGACTCCGTATGCGCGAAAAGAAAAATAGCCTACTTGTTCTTCCAGACCATGTTCTACATCTATGCCAAATTTCAACGATATCCGTTGAGCCTTTCCGAAGATACCTTCAAACAAACATCCATCAAAACATTTGCATTTATAATATTAGTGAGATTCGAAATCATTCCATAAACAAACCATAATAACGTAAAATTAGATTAGTGAGTGTGACGTTTGATACATTTTTATTCCTGAATTTAAATAAACTATACGACTTCTTAACATTAACCTTTAAACCAAGGAATATAATACAGTTTAATTTATTGTCTACTTTATTACTTGAAGCTTGAGAACAAAGACCTTAAAGGTCCCGCTGCTCTTTTATTTGGCCTCGGAAATAGTGAAGGAGGTACAGTTACGAGTTACTAACTGAAACGGACAAATAAATCGACAATTATTACGATTAAATGACAATCTAAATGATCTCGTGTACGTATTTTTGCTTGCAAAGAAATTGACAAAAAAATTACAAATAAAATTCGAAGATATGAAGTACAAGGTTTAGAAAATTCTAGGACCTTTTTTTTGTATTATATCAATGAGATATGAGACGAGTGACGTCACAGGATCTTATCAGACAAATTTAACTGCATTAACCAATACAGTAATTAAGGAGTTCCGTACTAATGTTCAGAGAAAATAATATGATATATTGTAAAAGTAAAAGTTTATTAATCTTTTACGTAACAATTCGAACTCGATTGACGCGAATATCGCCTGCGTGCGATTTTAAGGCAGATTTTATGGTTGTTACCTAAGAAGTATCATATACGTGGTGCGCTATATTCAATATGTTGTGGCCACGAAAACAGCGTGTTTGGAAATAAATAAATCATTATTGTGCTCTCTCTATCTTTCAAGTTAAGTTTTCTTGTGAAGTTTCAAAATAACAGTAAGAAAATATTGTACTGTTACTTTTTTATTCGTAATTTTTGACAACCAATGTCGCACATCAAAATATATTTTTTCTTTTTATATATTAATTAAGCAGTGTTTAAAATAACTTTAGCAATACCAAATGATGTCATTTATTATTCTATCAGATATAATAATGTTAAAGCGGATAAACGTGTGACTTTACCTACCATTGTAGGAAAAAATTTACAAAGAACTTTATTGCTAGTTCCCACATTAAAGTGAGGTTAATTATTAAGTTTTGTATATTGTATTCTTAATATGTTACGTTGTTATTTCAAATATGTTTATTATGTTCAAACAAAGGAGGACTAAGTGAAGGTATATGTACGCTTCGGACCAATGACGGCACCCTCAAAGACTTTGAACTTAAAGTTAAGATTTGTAACAAGAAGGCTCAAAAAGTTATATAATATTTAGATTAAATTATCACATAACAGTGGTAGAGCCCGCTTTAACATCTTCGCTCGAATTGGCCCGGCTCGCCCGGTGAAATACCACCGACCACACAGAAGACAGGCGCGAAGTAGAAGCGATTCCGCGTTTCGTCTGATGAGTGTGTCTGATGAGAGTGTACGCGTTGCGTATGTCTACGGGCAACTCGCTATTTCAGCGATTTCAGGTGGCCGCTCGCTCGTTTGACACATTATAATATATAAAAAAACATAATAAGACTAACCTGTATACTATTCGCTATTCAAGGTCGGCTGCAGCATCCGATACCTACCGTCCATGTGGCATCTTTGTTGGAATGCGATAAATTTTAATACAAAAAAAATTTACTCAGTAATTACAGTCATTTTCAAAAGGTTATTGCACCTTCCGACATTTTTAAATACATGACTATAATCAAGTACAAAGTAATGTCAAAAATGTAGGACGTAAGCAATAAAAAATTACCTAGCGGGAAAATTTTAATATAATTCTTAATGCCACAAATCACTAAGGATGAAGGTACAAGTTTTCAGTCAATCGAAGTTTTAAAAACAATAATGTGTTGCAATATTCTAGAAAAGTAATCGCCGATTTCATGGCCCTACTCGAATGAGTCACGAGCATTCAGAGAAAGTGTATCTGGCGACATCCGCAGGGCGGCGCACTCTGCGCGGGCGCACCAAATGCAGATGAAATATGCTAAAGCGCACCGAACTCGGTAATATTTGACGAATTTGGTTACAGGATGTTTTGTAAACGGAAAAAGTGATTACGTGTTTTGATTTCTAAAATTTCAAAAGAGAAATTTATACCTTTAACTTGCCAAAAATGTTTTGAAAAAGGTATTTACAAGTTTACAGCTTAATTTGTGGCATGAATCCGTATAAAATAGAAGAGGTCATTGCCTAAAGCATAGAGACTAAAGTTTCATCTAAGCAGCAATACATTATTGTTTGAATGTCTTATATATTTTACTTATGCTTAAATTCAAAATATTTGTAGATTATTGTAACAAAATCGGATGACAATAACTTCACTGTTTAATTTTAAGACAAAAAATGTCTATTAAAAACTTTTTATAAAAGCTTTCCAATTTCACAGTAATCGACTTCTGATTACTATATTCAAGTTAAATGCCAATTATAGTTAGCATTATATTTTCGTATAGAAAAACAAACATATAAAAAATCGCTAATCATACTAATAATTCAATCACTGTAGACAAATAGGAGCAAAGATATACAAATGAACAATTGCTATTTAACTTTGGCAGGAGCATGATATATTTTACCAATTACTGTCTAAAATGTATAACATTGTTTAAAATATAGTAAGATATCGTAACTATTATATAATGTTTTATACAAACATTTAAAATTGAATAATAAAATATGTTCAAACTTTTTGATGTAATCTGCGTAAAACGAAAAATGTAAGCTTCGAAACAAAATGTCTTTAAATGTGTCAAATTGAAAGTGATGTTCTGTTTACGATAAAATCGATATTCCGTTTTATGGATAAAATCTTGAGCGAATTATAGAAGTTAATGTGAAATATTAATTATGGCTGTAGGATTCGGACTATAGGACCGTCACATCATATTTGATATAACAGAAGCAACAATATTGAAATTGTGAACGAAGAACTAAAATGAAGTATAGTATAAGTTTTCACTTTGTAAACGAAATATTTGAAATAAGCTATCACAAACGAAATAATCATAAGTTATTTTTCAATTTTCATATCAGAATATTTTATCCTTTAAAGTTAGAAGTTTTAATTAATTAGAAGAAACAAGCAACAATCGACAAACAGTCCATCGAAATATCGATAAAAGAATTCGTTAATCGATGCCGTACCTAGACGACAGTTAAGGTTGACATCATTGCTTGGCTTGATTTGCTCTGCGCACGGCGCATAGCAGATTTGTCATCCATAAAGAATAAGATAAAAGTCCAAAATACGTTGTTGTAGTGCAGAAGAAGAATATCATACATTGATAAATTCTGTGTAACATACAGTGCGAGTTATTAAGTGTCGTTGTGTCCTCTTGTTACTTTGGCTACGTATGTTCAGTTTAAATCAGTGCTAAAAGTAAAAATGAATAACATCGCCAGAACACCGAAGACAACACCAATAACCGATGATTATGATATCTCAAATACAGTCCTTGGTCTTGGGATTAATGGGAAGGTAAGTTTAATTAAGTGGATATAAAAAAATACTTTGGCGGTAGTATCACTTCAAAAATACTTTTGACATTGTTTACATGAATGACGTAAAGATCAAAATTAGCCTGTACACATTTTTTATCATATCGCGGTTGACTAGACATCGTAGGTCGACGAGGTGTTTAATTGCTTATATTTCAATGCCACTTTTTGGATGAAGAATGAATGATTACATTTTAATATTATTATTTAGTAAGATTATGCTTTAAAGTCACTGTCTTATTATCTTATAATACAGTGCTCGAAGAAAAATACATTAAGTTTATTTAAATAAGAAGTAATTATCATCTTAACCTTTAGTCACTAATAAAAACAAGTCATTAAATATATTGGTGTTCCTTTCAACGATCTGGTATAGTAATATAGCATAATTTTGGAAACCGATAAATTCATTTATATGCTGAGCTTGGTGAAGGCCTTGGGGATAATAAAACAAGACATTCTGGATAAAAGTCGCAGGAAGCAAGAGGAGGCTAAAGACTTAACACATTTAACTCTAAGATTTATAAATTCCAATGTGTCAGGCTGTGTTGGTGGCTCGATTTTAACAAATTATTCATTCTATCTTTCGTAGGATTTTCTTTAAATTATTTTTTGTCGGAAATATCATAATATTTATGTAGCATTTGTGTGACATCCATTTTAAATAATGTAACTATTTTAAATAGTATAGCTTTTATCAAGTTTATTATAAACTCATTTGTATAAAGTACTGAAGACAAATTTAATTTATAAAAATACTTAAAATTGTTAAATATAATTTTTTTAATATATATCTTGAAAGTACTGTGTTTTTCAGTGAGTAAAATTAACACTAGAATATTGTAAAGTAAAATTTGGTAATGAAAATGATTAAATATGTTATGTTTCATAATATTTTAAAATCCACTGAAATGTTGATTCATACATTTAAAAAGGCCCTTTGATGTTTTTTTACAACAGACAAATTAGTTCTATAAATAAAAAGGGCCTTTCCGGCCGTCGTTAGCATTCCAACTCACTGATCAGTCATTAAAGTTCATTGGCTTACTTAATATTGTTGTGTGTACAAATGTGGTGCTTTATATAGAATTTATCTGTATCTTAAATTGTACATCTTTAGTTAGTATTATTACTTTTTAATATATTATATGGTGTATAGTGCTTAGACAGAATGCCATCTGAAGTTAAGATTTATAGTTTGAAATATCCTTTATTTTTAGATGTTAACATCCATAATATAACTCACTAGCATTTAAAGCGTTAAAATAAGTGTTTGACTGTATTATTTTAAGTAATACAAATTATGTATCTCTGGATTACATGGAGGATGGAATGAGTAGGAAATACTCTCTTACACCATTGATTAAAGGCAACACATCTAAAATTTCAGATGTCTATGGGCAGCAGTCACTTTGCTATTTTGTCTAATTTAGATGACTGCTATTGTTTGCCATCTTATAATTGTATTGACTGTACAGTTATAACTTATGTGTGTAGACACAACAGAACTGTACAGTTTAACTGAGTTACAATGTTGCCTACATCCAAGAAGTTCATATCTAAAGACACATAGTTGCTTTTCTGTATATCTGACATAGGAAAAAACTAGATGAGGTGTTACTTTTTATTTGTGTTGGAGTAATGTACAAACATACGAAGCACATGGTTACGCAAGTACATCTTGCTAGTAGCTTAAGATAACACAGAGATAGCTATTTAGCAAATAATTACAACTAGCACTGAGTACTTGTCAGTCACATGGACATGGCAATGTACTGTTTGAGCACTTTCACTATCTTTCTACTAAATTTTTTTTATTATCTTTTTTTGAGACAGAACTTTTTATCTTATGCATTTATTCTGTTAGTATGAATTTGTTCTCATCAATTTATGTCTACAGCGTTTGTAGGAGATAACATGTATACATTTATCACTGTCAAATTATATGGAAATGCGATGCTTTGTGTACGCACAATTTAATACATCGATCAAATTTGCCCTTCAATAGCTTGTACAATCAAGACCCTTCGTGGTGTTCCACTTAGAAAAGAATTGACTCGTTCCTTGAATCATACAAACTCACTAAATACAAAATAGTCAATTAGATGAACTAATATTAAACGGTAAATGGTGACTGATATTTTTTCTATTTTAAATTTAAAAATCAGTTGCTTTATCTGTTGCTTTTGCGGTGTAACACCGCCAGATTCCCCGATAGTACATGAGGTTACTTTGAAGATGTTCGTACAAATTTGTAGAAACATATTAATGACATCGCGAAAAAAATTGTATATTTATATATTCAATAGGTACCAAATCATATGATAAATAATGTGCTATTTAATAAAATAACCATCAATTATGAATTCAATGATGATTCACCGAAAATGTCTCGTGAATTTATGATTATAGATTACGACTGCGAACGATGTCGAGGTGAATTCAAGGCGCTTAGATAAGCATAGTTTGATATTTAACAAAGTACAGTCCTCCATTTTACAGCGTTTGTAAACTGGGACGCTACATTGCCATGTAAAAAAATCATAACCTAAGTTAGTTTATTTTGAAGTACTATCTCTTACCAATCACTTTACAATGAACAGCGTGTATTCTGCGAGGTCGTTGACCTATTTGCATAACAGCTGATGCTATTGAGAAGTTCTACAACATTCAAAATTGTTTCAGTTACCGTAAGTACAACTGTAAAGAAATATGTTAATATGATTGATTAAGACGAGATGGAAGAGAATGAAAATGTTTTACACGGCAGTGGAAACACGATAAAATCGTCTTAAACATTTTCCACCACGGAATTTAATGAAAAATGTATGTCGATGTGGATTGAGTTATCACTGACTTAATTAATATTGAAAGTCATGAAAGTTATATCTCATATTGTAAATTACGAATGATGATGAATCGCAAAATGGACTCGACGAATATCAGATAACGGTGCCATCACATCGATCGCTAAGTCCATTCGCTTACGTCGACATTACTCATATGGCTTTTTGATAAGTTTTTTTTATAAGTACCGCTAGCAGAATAAACCGTAATCTGCTATGGGAATCAAATAGCTTTTTGTTGGTACTGGGTACAAAGTACCAACATTCAAACATCCTAATGCGATTAAGATGTTTGAATGTTGGCACGGTTGTGGAGCTGAAGTTTGTGTAATGGTTTTCACTGTAATTTTGTAGAAAAGTTTTCAGGTTTTAATATAAAAAATCCTACACAATTTATCACACCTTTTCACAACAAAAAAAATGGACTGAATATTTTTTTGGACTTTTTATTTACGATATTTATTACAATCCTTTTTATGAAAATCAGAGATTACCTTACAATACTAGATTAGATCATTCCATTATAGTTAATTCAAAACCATTTTGATGGATTGTGAACTATAAATAGACAAGTCTTAAGGCGTCAACGACCTTATACAACTGATTGACTCATACAGTGATAACATCCCTCTTTACACGATGTTGTATAAAAAATATCAAACGCTACGTTTCCCTCTTAGTCACATTACTTTGATAAGTGTAGTAGATTTTGAAGGTCATTCCAAATGAATATATATCATATTTAACTTGCTTTATTTAATATAATTTCATATGGAACCAAATAATTGAAATTATGTCGATTTCTAGGTAATAGATTGATATCAAATTTTGTAAACACCTTTCTGGTGACAATACAATTACGTTCAATACCGTTTTAAATAAAAGATGGCCGCCACCAAAAAATATTAGTATTCTTTCAATTATTCTATTAGTAAAAAATCTAAGGTCTACTTAGTCTTAAAGTTAATATCTAGTAGTAAGTAGTAGAGTGTACTTATGTATATTATTAAAAAATATTTTAATAGTGTAAGAGCTTAAAGACCATTAGCCTAGATTGTCTTAACATATGTTTATACGTTAATTAAATAAAGTATGACGTAATCAAACGTTAAAAGATTTTACGTTGCGGAAGTAAAGGCATGCTTGACGCAATGCTGAATTTTATAATTAATTTGCGGCGTTTGAATGATAATACGAATGCTCGGTAACTGTTTATCGCATGATTGACGCATGCGATATTCTTTTCGAAAAATATCAAGATAGGACCTTTCGTAACTATCAAGTGCGCTGATTAGTTTGTTAATTACGACTAAGGATAAGACTATGTATTCCTTGATGAATTCCGTAGTTTTACGATATGACCAATACTGGCATTGTGTGGATAGCGTATATTCTACACTAGCAGTTGCCCGCGACTTCGTCTTTGTGAAATTAAAAAAAAGCTAATTACGAGTAGTCTATGTGCCTTCCAGACATTGTTCTACATATATACTAAAAACCCAGATCCATGCAGCCGCTCCGGAGGTGTCTTCTAACAGCCATCCATCCATCGAATCATCCAAAAATTCGCATTTTTTAAATATTCGTAAGATTTCTCTTCGATTTAACTGTACTATGTGAATAAACGAGGCGACAATATTTGTTTTTCGTATTCAGACGGACAGACACGAAGAGAAATTTACATATATATATATTTATTTTAACAGTTTTAAATACAGGAAATAATGTTTGTACAGTAACAAGTCGGGGTAATTGTATTGTTTTCGTGGGAAACGAATTCATCGTGTATGTTATCAGATATTTTGAATGGACCAGACAATTAGAAATGACTCATGTATGACCCAATGTTATAAAAGGTGTTTTTGTTTGACTACACGATATGTGCAGGACGTTCAACTCATGGTAAAATGCGTAAGCTTGTATTATTTATTTATATTTTTATAAATTCAAATTGCCCTACAATTGCTAAAACACATGTCCAAAAACATTGCGCATTTTTTAAAGACAAGGAAAACGATTAATATATTTGTGACAATGAAAACCTACATCAAAATAAACTGTGTTCAAACGTTAGCAAGCTTACCGTGAGTTTCTGAGATCAAAATCGCCGTTTAAAATATATAGTTATCTCTGT